TGGATCCGGGCGCGCACTCATCATTAGCATTCATCACTTATGTAGTGGAAACGAATTCCAGTAGAACGGCATATGTTACCGAGATAATTGGGCAAGTAATACGCCAAACTGATGAGCTCCATACTCTTAAGAACAGCATTCAAGTAGTCTAGATTTATGTTGTCAGACTGTTGACATTATCGTCTCATCTGCGGCCGGATATTAAATCAAATGGATAGTAATAAAGTAAGTATTGAAGCAGAATGAATAAAACGCTCGTGTTTCAGGTATCTGTATGGATGAGGAAGAAGACGTGTCGAGCACCGGATCAGTTGGTTTATTGTCCTGAACTTTCGAACTCTTACAGGTGTTCATCTTCAGGGATAAGAAGCAGCAACCAAAAGGAGGGAAATTATAGTGGCCGTAGGCCAGTCAAATATCAGTGGTCATCAGAACGTCAACGGATAAGAAACATCAACCAGAAGAGGATGGAGGGTGGGGGGAGGCAGTTATAATGTTATACGCTAATTAACTGTCAGTGAAGTCGGCGGTCGTCTGAAGTCATAAACAGTAATAAGTGTAATGCCTTGTCCTCACAGTAGAGGGTCCCAGTGATTCTGCCTCCTCTTCTGGCCAGTTCGTAAAGGGGTCCTCTTCGTTTGCAATTCGGGCGTTAGGTTTGGCCGTGTTCCGTCCTTTGCTAATATAATGGCGTAAGACTTTGTAAGCCGCGGGAAAGTCTATGTGTCTGTTGATGGAGCTGGCATCTGAGTGCCATACCTCAAGCGTTAACATTTCGGCTTTTGATTTTCTTCGGCTTACGACGGTTTTTCTCTGAATATCGAAGTCGTGGCCAGTCTCTCCAGTGTGTGCTGCAAACTGTGAGTTTATGTCTATTCTCCGAGCATAAGTCTGTGTTCATGTTGGCTGGGCTGCAATGTTCGGCTGTTTCTCCTTAGAAGTTACAGTCTCCACCGTTGCAACCTACCTTATAGACAACTGCGGAGGCTTCGGTAGGGGCAGTCTGTCTTTAGGTTGCATCACACGGCGGCGTATTTTCGCCTGAGGTCGATGGGTTATGCCTACTCCAGCGGGTTGTAACAGTCATGAGACTGCTTCCGAGAATCCTTTTATGTAGGGAATGGCCCTCCGAACTGCGGGTTGCTTTTGCACCGGTCGTCGTCTGTTCACCCGAAGAGTTCGTGAAGGCATTGTTGTTCTACTATTTTGTCGGCAGGAGTGCTGCAATGTGTGTAAACTCTTTAGAAAAGAGTACGAACGCAACTACTTTTGTGACACTTTGGTGATTGCTGTTGAAATGTTGCACTTGTTTCGTATTGGTGGCGTTTCTGAATACTATGGGTTGCAGTCTTCCAGTTGAACACTGGCGCACCAGGACATCGAGAAAGGGTAGTTGGTTGTTTCTTTTAGCTTCCATCGTGAATTGGATATTTGGATTAACCGAGTTTAGTAAATCTTTGAGGTGCTTGATGTCAGATGCTTTGAGAAGAACTAAAGTGTCATCGACATAATGATCCCAAAACTTCGGTTGATACTTGTGAAGATCAAGTGTTCAATCCATTGAAGGACCAATTCAGCAATCAGGCCTGATAGGGAGGAGCCCGTTGGGGTGCGATTAATTTGCTTATACATTTTCCCGCCAAATGTGAAGTAGGTTTTAAGGCAATGTCGTAAAACTTTGAGCAAATGTCCAGACGTCAGGGGTTTGTTGCTCTCGTCGTGGCTTTCTTTTAGAAGTTGTCCCATAACATTAATCGCTAGCTGCTGTGGGATAGAGGTGAAGAGTTAAATTCATAAATTCTTATCAACTACTGCACATTACTTTTGAACTAATTGTTCGGGACATTTAAAAACGGTAAA